TTTATTGATTTAACACTTCCTTCTTCTCAAGATATCTATGTATTATTTCCAATCTGTAATTTTTCAATATTTATAAGACTGATCAATATGATCAATATTTAATTGAGGAAAGTATGGAATAACGATTGGTAAAATATGTATTCATTGATGGAATAAAAGCAACAACAAGCTCCTTCAGAAGTTCGTAATTGTGGAATTATCGTGTTATAATTGCTGGTTTTGTTTGGGTTTTGGATATATTGTTTTGGTGGTTTATCATATAAACAGGTTAAACTAGATTTGAAATTTATAAAGAAGCAGAAAATAAGATGTCAGGGCCTCCAGCAGCTTTAACAGAGAAACAGAAGCTACAACAACAGTTTCAATTATTTCAGGAATCACTTCCAAAGGTGAATCAGTTAGCATTGACACTGCTGTTGAATGAGACGATTCCATTATCTATGGCTGTTCAAAAAAGGTTAAATGAAAGTGAATTAAGCAAAATGGAAAATGATGATGAACTACAAATAAATGACATCGATCTGAAGGACAAATTATACATTACACCTAAACTAGATTTACCATCGCATAAATTAATTCAAGAAATTTCAAAATGTAATGAAGAAGATAAATTAAAGGTAATTGAACGGTTGAGGAATATTGGCTTTCAAATTGGTAACAAAATGAGTGAACTCTTAGTGTTTACAAATAATCCAAATTTAGAGTTTAAAGATATGGATCTTTTATTAATAATGAAATTTATCTGTAGAGATGTATGGAAACAATTATATGGGAAACAGATAGATAATTTGAAAACAAATCATAGAGGAACATTTTATTTGTTTGACTATGACTACAAACCAATACAGCCATTTTCAATAGAAGGAGATAATTCAGATGAGAAAACTCAAGAAAAGGAATTAGAATTGGTTAAACCATTTTTAGAGATCCCTGTAGGTATTATCAATGGTGTTTTATCATCTCTAGGTTATAACAAAGAAGATGTCTCATGCGAGGCTACATTTGTAGATAGACCAGATGAAAAATCCAAAGCTGCATTCCCAAAGGGCATAAGCTTCCATGTTCAAATACTGAATCAATAATTGTCTAAATATAAATACATATATATATATCTTTGATATATGACAGAAATAAATTACATAGGCACACAGACTAATCTTTCGAATAGTCACTAAAAGATTTTAAAAAAGAATAGAATATATATAAATATATAAAACAAGATTATATTTCAAAACCTCGATTATTTTAATGTAATATCTATGAATACAACTGCTATATAATATAACATGTGGATAATATATGATTGATATGATAACAGCCCAAATTAATTAAAGAGAACAAAAAATAAAACTAATCATCATAACATTATAAAATCGAACCGTTTGTAAAAGCCAAATATTATTTAACCTTTAAAATTAATATCATTAAAATGAACTTGCTCTTGATACCTATGCTGTTGAGGAATTTGTGTGTGAATATTTTGAGATTTAGAGGCATCTGAATCATCAAGCTTAGAGTGACCTTCTAATGAAAATTCAAATTCATTTGATTGAGGAATTACATGATGCCCTTGCTGGTGTGGTTGGATAGAAGAAAATTCATAATTGACACCAGAGACTTTGTCATTTTGTAAATGGTGAGTTGGCGATGGTAATTTCATAGTATCCTTATTTGGATCAACCATTGTGGCTCCCTCTGCAAGGGATGTTGGGTTAGTCATTGCACCACCCATATGAGTGTTTCCATGTTGAGCTGCTGCATCAGTTAAAGGGACATGCATCGTATTCGAAGTGTTTTTCCCTCTACCTTTAATACCTTTGTTTGAATTCTTATAAATTGAAGAAAAATATTCCAGTAATTCTCTTTCACCATCTGGAATCTGACTATTAGGTTCCATCGAAGCTAATTTTGCTGTAAGTTCCATTAGAGTATTCAGATGAAATCTATTTTGATGAGCTTTCATATTACCCAATTGAGTAAATGACTTATTACATTCATCAAGTTTACAGACGTAAGGCTTTAATTTTTGATGAGTGAGGAAATGTGCAGCTAAATTACCCTTTCTAGAGAATTTTTTGCCACATAATTCACAACTGTAAGGTCTTTCTCCAGTGTGTAATCTTTGATGTGTTCTCAAATTACCACCTTGTGTGAATCTCTTACCACAGTACTCACATTGGAAAGGCTTGTAACCAATATGTGATCTAACATGAACTTCTAAATGAGTAGATTGTGTGAAAAAACGGTGACAATATGGACACTCATGTTGTTTGATTCCGTGTGCAGATTTCGGCTTCTCGACACCACCCACTAATTGATTTGAAGGCGGCAAAATATTTGATGTTTGATCAAGTAATAGATCACCAGCTGCAGTAGTACTGACTTTTTCTGTAACACCTTTCTTTCTTGCTTCAATAATTAACATTAATTGATCAACTTTAGTTACACCTAACAATGGTCTTGTGTTATCAAGTGGTTCATTCACAGAGGTGATATCCATACCTGCGTTTGGAAACTTCGCTAAAGTTTCAGGTGCACTTGCCTTATCTGCCCCAGGAATTTGTTGATTTTGCATTAATGGCGTTTTATCCTTCGAAGATGATTTCTTGCGCTTCTTTGATTTTGTACTTTTCTCACCACCTAAATTGCTAGCATCTTGCATTTGTTGCTGCATAGCAATCTGGTTGGCCATATGTTGTTGTAATGCGGGTTGGTTTTGATGTTGCAATTGTTGTTGTAATTTCCCATCTCCATTTCCCCTCAAATTAGAATCTCTTCTCTTGAATTGGAAATCGAAATCATCAGAGGTAAACTTCATTGAATTATTTCTTGATTGTTGTGAATTGAATAGAGTATCAAATTCGTTCAATTTGCCACCAGTTCCAGAACTTACACCTTGTTGAGTTACATTTCCTGATCCTGCAATCGATGCACTTCCTAAAGGTACTATCATTGGTGGTTTCATTGTCGAATTTATACTATCTTTCTTCTGAGCATTAAAAAATTCCATATCTGTACCATCATTGGCTCCATAATTATATATAGAGTATCTTTTCGCGTTCTTGTTGTATTTATTCCCACCAGCGTTGGTATTGGTTGGAGCACCTGATCTACCAGCTCCAGTATTTATGTTGCCACCGGCAGTAGCTGCGTTTCCCCCAGCTTGTTTCCCATCACCTGGATTTGATGCAGCTGAAAAAGATGGAGTTTTAAATCTTGGTGGCATAAAAGGTTCCAAGGTCTCGCTTTGCCTTCTAATAGCATTGTTAAATTGATTACCAGGTATATTATATTCTTGTGTTTGGCTATTATTTCTTTGATTTGTCAAGGAAGGCAAAGGTTGTTGCTGTTGTGGCTGCTGTTGTTGAGACTGTTGTTGTGATGGCTGCTGTTGTTGTGCTTGCTGTGGCTGCTGTTGTTGTTGCTGCTGCTGCTGTTGTTGTTGTTGCTGAGGCCAGAAGCTATTCACTATAGAATAACCCCTTCCTATTGATGATATGTCGCTAGAGCCTGGTATAGATGGACGACCCTGATTGAAATTCGAAGGAACGCCAGATTGAACATTTGATTGACCATCTGAGATATTCAAAAAAGTTGAAATTGAAGCATCTGTGGAATATCTAGGTTGATTGAAATTAGTATACATTGATATTGAATCTTGTCTATTTTCAACAGGGGGTCCTTGATTAGCGTTTATCCCAGCATTTGCGGCAGATGCATTATTATTCGCTATATTCTGATCATCTTGAATATTCGTCACCTCTTGTTTGTTCCTTTTCCCAGTCATTGTCGGTGTGTTTGTTTGTTTATTTTTTTTGTTCTTGCTTGGTCTTAATTATTTATATTTTTTTTGATGTTTGACAAATGGCTGTTTTGTAAACAATTAACAGGAATATATAAACTTTCTTCTGATTGTTTTTTTTTTCTTCAAAAAAAAAACAAAACAAATTAGAACTAGATTGATGAATAATACACTTTATACCTTGAAATATAACTCAACTTATTATTGTTTTGTTTTCAGTTCTGTCAATTAACTAGTTAATTAACTTGAAATGAAACTTTGTAGTTGATGGTAACAAAGAATAATAATACAATTTCAATGAAAAAAGTAGTTTATTATTCCTTTTAATTTTCTGTTTATTTATTTTTTTTTCCTTGGAATTGGTGTGTTAACTAGAAAGAAAGAAAAAAAAATAATAGTAACAACGAAAACAGGATTCTGCTCTTGTTGATATTTCTGATTTGTGTGTATGAAATGAACTTGATGTTGTTGTTTTTTTCTTGTAGGTTTAGTAACGAAACAAAAAAAAATAACTTTTATATTTCTTTTAATCGATAAACTTTGTTTTTTTTTTAATTCTTTAATTCTACACTTCCCTAATTTGTTGTGTCCTCTCAGTTGATATTGCTTTTTTAAAGGGCCTCTTTGAAGGGAAAGAAACTTGTATTGAAAAGAGTACTTAAAAATCGTTTCTTTCTTGTCTCCTCGGGGTATATAAAATGAAAATGTGAAAGAAGCTGCAATAGCAAAAGCAAACAAAAAAAAACCTGTCAAGTTTGTTTGTTTGTTTGTTTGTTTATTCACTTTAATTCAGCCAAATCAATGAATAAGTATAGCCAAAAGAATAGAAAAATAAAAATAAAAATAAAAAAAAAAATTAAAACAAATAGAAGCATACAACTTTATGGCTTAATCAGTAGCTAATAAATAAAAAAAAAAATTTAGAAAATAGGAGAATTTACCAAATGGAATAAAAAATAAGCAATAATAATAATAATAATAATAATGACACGAATATGTAGAGAGAGTAGAACAGAACACTAATTGTAATAATTTGATATATTGATTGTATGATTTATTTGTAGTGGAGTGTTTCTCATGTATCATATGTGCTTGCATTTTTGTAATGTATGGTTTAGTTGCTTGGATTTTGTCAATTTTGTCAATTTTGTCAATTTTTTGGTTTGTTTCCCTGTTTTTGCTGTTAGTAGTAGCTAGAGAGAGGGAAGGAAGATTGAACAAGTAAAAAACACAATAGTTTTTCCTCTTCCTCTTCCTTTTCCTTTTCCTTTCCTTCCTATCTTGTCTCTCTTGTTTCTAGCTTTACCCTCTTTTCGATACCAATCCCTTCCTACCAACTCGGTGAACTAGCAAACTGCGTTTGCTGCACAGAGAGAGAGACAGACAGACAGAGTGTGTTCAAGTAAGTAAGTAAAGTTGACACTACTGAATTTCCGATTCCGAATTCTGTCAGTATCAAATTATCAACGTTAAACATTAACATCAACATCATCGTCGTCGTCGTCATCATCTGTATGCTTTTGTTACTCTTCCTCTTGTGCTTTCTCTATCTGTGTGTGTGTGTGTGTTTTTTTTCACATTTCGTTACGTTACGTTACGTTACACTTGTAGTTGCACCTGCACTTGTACTTGTATACAGAAAATGACTTGTATTAATTGGCTGGGCTAGGCTAGGCTGCTGCAGGGAATACCTTGCTTCTCTGTCAAAGTTTAATCAAATATATTCTCGAGAAACCTTGTGTATATTTCTCTCCCTGGTCGTCCTAACCTTTAAAATTGGTAAAAAAAGCTAATACAATAACCATTTCCCCCCTTGCTTGATGATATTTATTTGGTCTGGTAAATAACTTCACTGAATCCAAGCTAAGCTTTGCTTAGCTTGGCTTAGCTTGGGGCCTGTCTGTACTGAATAGTGTTTTTTTTTATCTGAAATGCAAAATTGTAAAATGTAAAAAAATGTCCATCTACCAATCAATCTATCAATCAATCACTTGAGCAAGAAAAGTACAGTGGTATCATCTCTGGTGCGGGGTTTGATCCGATCGTTAGACATAATATCTGATGTAAGGTATATTAATTCAATTCGATTTTTCTAACCAAGACAAAAACTATCCTAACATCATGAGATAATGCTACTGGTTGGAATGGCTAAACCGGTTTTCAAAAAGCTTGAATTTTTGGCTGTTTCTAGGAGGGTGGGGTAGGATTTTTTCCCTTTGACAACTGTAAAGGGGTCTGGCTCGGATTTAAATTATTTAGATTAAAGGGAATTTGGCTGGAAAACCTTTTTAATCCCATTTTGGCGCTATTGAAAATTACCTTTGACTTAACCTTAAAGAAGGGCCCCAGAAAGGCCTCTTTTGGTTCAAACCTGTGAAAAGGGGAAATAAAAAGGATGGTTTGATAAAATTTTCGGGAAAGGAAATATTTTTTTTTTCCCACACCCCCTCCCAATAGGGGGAAAAAATTTGCTCTTTTTACATTTTGCCCAATGGGAAACCG